CCTGTCCTTTTTTTCATTGCCTATGTGGGAAAACTAGCACATTTGTTTAAGGATAAACTGGGAAGTCTGTGGTTTCCAGCACGCACATTTTGAATAATATTTATACAGACTATTATTTAATGGGCCATATAAATATTTATCATATGCTGTAGCCCTTTGATCATAAATGCTTGTTTGAAAAGCCATTCTGTCCCTGCTGTGATTTGCAAAGAGACCTTTGCTGTTTTAGTGCTTGGAGAGAATTTTGGCTTCTTGTCCTGTATTAGTAGTTATAGTCCTGGACTAACACAGTCAAGCTGGAATTGTCTTCTTAAAATGATTTTTTTTCCTTCTCCCTTTCTTTCTGTTTTCAAATTAAAATAAGAAGTGGTAAATGTGAGGCCCTTATTCTGCAGTGGACAGGCAAAGTTACTTTGAAGCTTTGGAGGCCTTTTTCTTGGCTGCAAGAAGCCAGGCTTCCTGAGGTAGATACTTCAGGGATGTAGAAGGTATTATCACCACAGCTTTTCACCATTGGGAAGTCCATAAACATGCATCAAACATTTTGGTGTCTTGTTAGGAATATTGTGTGAAAGGAATTGACTTGTCTGACTGGACCTTTAAGGCTGTTTATTTTAGTTGTTTTCCGGTTTCACTGTTTTCCTCATGATTGTATTGACTGCAGAAGCTGTATGCTAAGAATCCAGTAGATACAAAATCCAAACCAAAGTTTTCTTCCGTGCATGGCAATGAAAGTTGATGTCCAGATTCCAAAGCAAGAAGTTTGTGCTGGGACCTTCTACTACCTCTGAACTCCATTAAAGAGTTTCTTCATTCCTGACTTGGAGCTTCCTCTTGTACCAATGGAATCTCCTGTAAACAAAACTGAATAGTAACATTTCTCTTTAAATTCTTCTTAAAGTACTTTGGATAAAGATTTTCAACCAACCTCACTGCTGAGTTCGTAGGTACTCGAAAGATACCTGTAGACAGAGTCCCTAATTGGTAATACTTACAACCTAAAGATGACAGTACTTTTTGTGGATCTGGTTGACAAGTAAATGGCATGGCAAGTGATTGGTATTCCAGAAGAAACCTGGCATCAAATCATGTTTTTGTCAGCAGATGAGATCCTATTGCAGAGACGTTGTACTTTGAACAGCCTCGGTAACTAAGTGCTTCAAAAAAGGGATTAATATTTACTCTGAACCCTTCTTGGTAAGATATTGAAGTATTGTTTTGTAAATCTAGGTGAGCTTTACTCAGAGAAAGACCGGTTAAAATAGGTTGGACTTTGTCACTTAACTCTTCTGTGCACTGATTTACAGAGTTAAACTAGTGGCTCTACATAAACTCATCTGTGCTGCTTGAGCATAGAAACAAACTCTGCTTCCTGCCCAGTCACTCGCACATGCACATCCTGGTTGCTTAGTAAGGAAAAAAGGAAAGTAAACATTACATGGGCTTATTGGGTTCCAGGTTTCAAATGTTTGTGGGAAGAATCCAATGCAAAGCCATAATTTTAAGTGCTGAGTAGGAGGTACTATGAGCTTAATTCTCTAACATCTGTTAAGCTTGTTCTCCAAGTAGCAAAAACACATTAATGAGCTAAAATCAAAGCTGCCATACAAGGAAGAGAAATAAAAATTTAGAGTAACATTGTATATGGGAGAAGGAGGCAGGGGATGTAAAACACTCTTTTTGCTATTTGTATTTTGTGAAAAGCAAGTAAGAAAGATTTGCCTATGTTAAAAAAAATAATTTGCTTTGCAGTTTGTGGTTTATTCTCATGTTTTTATGAGTCAGCAGCTAAAGGCAGTGCCGAAATAGGGGAAAAACAGGGAAATTCGTGAGATAGTATCAGGAACAGTCTTAGGCAATTTCTTCATAGTACAGTTTCTTGCAAGTAGCCAGCAGCATCTGCAGCCAGCCTCTTAAGCTGTGAGGAGAATTAAAAAGTGGTCATCATCTGTTGAAAAGAATGTCTTAAAACTGGTTTTACAGCCAAGGGCTAAAAGGAAGATGCAGAGTGCTGTAAGTATCCCCAGCTGACAGATGCAGTATTAATCACTGATATCAGGAGAATTGTCCTCACTTTCAGAGGCATTAGCTTTTGTTAGTCTGACCAGGTCACAGAGCCAGGGCCAAGAAAATAAAGCCAGCTTTCTTGCCAATATTCCTGGGTGTTAGGCTCATGGCACACCATTATTTTTAGCTGATTGCTCATTGCTTGAACAGATGACCTTGCTTAATAAGATTTGTGTGTGTTGCACCTAAGCTACTGGGGAGAATCAGTGTGCTGAAAGAGTAGCTAGTATTGCCATCAGTGCTGCAGTATGTTCTATAGCTTTAATTTTTGTCTTGTTTCTGATACTGTTAGAAGCTAATGCTCTGTACAACTTCCTCTAGTGACCCTGCCATGGTGCAGAATGTGGTGTGGTACCTGCTTTGGTTTGTACCAGGTTGTTCATGAGCTTTAGTGATGGAGAGGACTCCTTCATGCTGATGCTGTCTAAGCAGAAGTTAAAAATTGTCCCTGGCCCTCAGCAGTGGTGTCTAAGCATGGTATGGTAGATTCAGGCAGTAAAAAGTGATTGTATGGGACAGGTTGTGGTAACATCTCCACAGACTAACCACATTTCTATGAACCAGTTAAGGGGCAGGATGAGGGAAAGCTGAGCAGGTTTCTTTAGCCAAAGTATTGGCTTATGCTGTTTTAAATTAAACTTTGTTCTAATTCAGCTGTTGCCTAGCTTAATTATTATCTGGAATGATGCTTGGAGTTTTCTGAGGTAAGGGTCTCCCTTTTTTTAATTCTTTATTTCACCTGCTACCTCTAAACCTCAATGATTATAAATTTGTAGAAGCCATCCGCAGCAGTGGTTACAAGCCAACTGTAGATGTGAACAGCCACTTATATTGTGCCAATACTGTGTTTGGGCCAGAGAAGGGCAACAGAGCTGGTGAAGGGTCTGGAGCACAAGTGTGATGAGGAACGACTGAGAAGTTTAGTCTGGAAAAGAGAAGGCTCAGGGGGGATCTTACTGCTTTCTACAACTGCCTGACAGGAGGTTGTAGTGAGGTGGGGGTCAGTCTCTTCTTCCAAGTAACAAGTGGTAGGACAAGAGGAAACGGCCTCAAGCTGCCCCAGGGAAGGTTTAGACTGGAGATTAGGAAATACTTCTTCTCCAAAAGGGTGGTCAGGCATTGGAACAGGCTGCCCAGGGCACTGGTAGAATTACTGTCCCTGGAATTGTTCAAAAGGCATGTAGAGGCCCTTAGCGACATGGTTTACTGGTGGACTTCGCATTCCTGGGGTAAAGTTGGAAAGGACCTTTAAGGTCATCAAGTCCAACCTGGTTGATTCTATGATTCATAGTGATACTCAAGGATAGATGTTGACCTGTACTCAAGATGTTTTGGTAGTGGGGAAAGAAAGGTTTGGTTTTCTGCCTTGTAGAAATAAAACAAGTAAAAAATACTGCTTCAGAAATTGAGTACAATTTATGTGTCTCTATGATCAGTATTGTCTGAAGGGAGAGGACTTTGACCAATTTCTGTTTCACTGCTGTTTCTATCAGGCTTTTGGTATATTTGCCACTAAACTCTGTAGTTATTAAAAATAACCCCAGGATTAATTTGGAATGTGAAGAATCATATTGTATTACTAAGCAGTGCTTCCCAGATCCTTCCCCGTTTGCCTGTAGCCCTCCCAACCCATCTTTCATATACAGAAATAATGCAGGTCATTTCTTTGGGAGAGATGGGCTGTTTTTAGGTAGAGCCATGTTGGTGCTGTGTTAATACTGAGTATTAATTACATCGTAATGGATCCATCCATTTTCTGGAAATTGGAAGCTATGTGTCAGCTGAGTTTTGTGTGTTTCAGAGGCTTAAAGATTCATATGAACACTAACCTTGGTACTTGTCTGATGTTTCAAATACTCTGTATAAGCTCTTCCTTAGCATCATCCCAGCTTGACTAAAATGTAGGTGTTAACTATTAATTAGGGACAAACTGTGAGAAATTAAGTACAGTGCATTTGTCACTGTATTAAATGTCAGATAGTTAACCGTAATATAGTGAAATCAGCAACTCAGTGTGAATAATTAACCTCACTTTGTTCTTGTAGGTTGCCAGAGAGTAGGCAACACTTTTTCAGCAAATAGTTTTCTGAATCTTCACAATGGTGTGCATTGATGGTGGATAGCTCTTAAAAACTGAGCCAGTTTTGTCTTCATGTGGTCCCTCCCCTCCCCTCCCCTCCCCTTTGGAGGACTTCAAATTGGGTAATGTGTACCAGATGCCACATATAATTATCAGCATCGGGCCACTTTTTGGGGGAGGCAAACTGTTCAGGTTCTGCAGTTATTCAGCCTGACTTGCTGGCTCATTCAGGAGGAATTTGCCACTCAGGAGCTGGTTGACTGCATGGGAGGTAGCAGCTCTTGGCTTGTCCTTCCTTTTCAGGTGAGGGTTCAGCTGAGCCAGGCACACCACCCCTTTCACTGCTTCAGGAATGTAATTTGTTTGCACTGAGGCAATGACGTACCTGTGGTGATTTTTGCTGTCCTTTCCAGAGGTGAATTCAACTTACCAGGCATCAGATGCTGGAAATCCCAGGAGTTTCTGGGTTGAAATATCCCTTCTGTGTAAAGCACCAGCTCCTGATTTCTGCTGAGTTTGGCACTGTACCTTTCCCTTCCTCTCTCCTCTCTCTTTTCCCCTTTATGTAGACATGATACTGTATGACCACAGCTCATTTCCTTGATTGCATTCATGCACATTTACAATTTGCTTTTCAGGAGCTTCTGTGCCATGCAACTTAGACACAGACATTTGAATAAAAAAGGTACAAGTAGTGCAAGACTTGAGCACTCAAAGTAATTAAATGCCAAGTGAAGACTTACTGAAAAAAAAGAAGCAAACTGCCTCTACAGCATCTCATCCTGTTGTGTACAGTTTTCCATCATCAGTCATTTGATCTGTTTTTAACACCTTTTTTATTTCCCTCTGACAGGTTGTATCAAAAATGCACAGTAAGAAGCAGACTCCAGAAAAATACTATGTTGGAATTGACGTTGGCTCAGCAAGTGTCCGTGCAGCATTGGTCGATGGGCTTGGGACAGTGGTGGCACATGCAGAGCACCCAATCCAAATTTGGGAGCCCCAGCCAGACCACTACGAGCAATCCTCTACAGACATATGGGCTGCTTGCTGCTCAGTCACAAAGGTACGTGAAGAAAAAGAAAATGAAGGAGATATGTTGCAGGTAGCTCATCAAATTTGGAAAGTTTAAGGTCTTCTAGTCACTGGCATTTAATATTAAGTTTTGTGCTTGCTGTATTGCTGTATAACTTGAAACCATCCTTGTGCATTAAAGGTATCTTGAGGATATGGCTGACAGAGTCTCAGTGACTGTGATACAGGTGAGGAGCTCAAGGCCAGAGTAAAAGAAGCTTGTGCTACAACTGAAAATGGAATGAAAGGCTTTCCTTTTCACTGTTAGTTCAGGTGAAGTACTTGCCCACTGACTGCAAGAGTCACATCTGTGGGTTTTGTTTCTGTCATGTACGTTATATCCACGAGACAGTTCTTTGAGGAGCAAAAGTTGCTCAGAACCTGGTAATGCATATATTTAAAGATGTGCATTGTGCTCCATTGAAGTCACAAAGCAGCACTTACTGTAGAGAAAGTGTAATCTGGTTTGTAAATGGTGCCTACCATTAATGTCTGTTACCTGCGATCCTCATTATAAGAGGATCCAGTATTATAAGACCAAAAGAAATTATATATGTTTGTGGATAGTCTCAAACATAACCCTGAATTGAAATAAACCTTAGTAAAAGGGAAAATTTGTACCTCTTTGTACCCTCTGATCCAAAGAGCTGCCTATACGTGCTGGGGGTAAAAGCAAATGAGTGACCTTGTTTGGCAATGCACATATAGACCATTTCATCTTTCTTAATAAAGCCTTGTCCTGCTCCATGTTCTAAGGCTGGCTTTTTAAATATTCATGATGTGCTTAGTAATTTGCAGGTGGACAGTTCACCCATTCCCTTGTTATTGATCAGCCTTTTCAAACATTCATGAGCTTGGCTCTGCAGAAATGCCCTGAGATGAAGGAGTTGAGGTGAGGGGGTAGGAAGAAGTGAGTGACAGGGAAGAACAGCTTGATGTTAAAGCAGAGAGAGTCTTTTATTCTACTTATTTGATTTTTTTTCTCCTTGTGAGTTGCTTTATTCTTGCTCTGAACCTGTTTAAATACGATCTCTTATATGTAAGCAATAAAATACAGGCTTTGGAACTATACAGTTACAGAGCCAGTAAGAGACTGGCACTGTAGTGAAAGTCTTTCGCTATAGTATTAATTAAAATAATGATATTTTTATTGTTGCTGAGAAGTGACAATTTATTATAGTGTTACATTTTAGGTGTCTTGCAACCTCATTTGGCACTTAATCCATGTGGGTGTTGTGTTTCTTTTTCCAGTGCTGCTGGAAGCCATGAAGTTCAGCCTCTTTGGGGCAGTGAGTTTTTTGTTTGTTTTGGAAAATCTTCCCAAAAGTATGCTGTCCAAACTCTTGGTAACAGAGCCTTTGGAAAGGTGTGCCTTACAGAGGTGTTATCACTGCTATGGCTTTTGATCAACTTTAGTTTTGTGTCCCTTCGCTATTGCAAGACAAAAGCTGTGGCACAGTATTACAAAGCAATTCTACAAAGCTTCCACAAGTGGGAACTGAGTGAGGTAACTGATGGGAATGCTTGACCCTGATCATGTGCCCATGCTTCACTTGCAGCTGAACTCCAAGCTTTTAAAAGAGCAAGAAAATTCACATTGCTGGTTTTCTGCTAACTTTATTTTCTGGTGGTTTTGTGCTTCCTGCTTTTGTGCAAGACTGTGGCTAGTAAAATTAAAAAGCTGTTAAAGAACTTCATGGACCTTTGAATTTAGTTTTGAAAACCAAAGAGTTTTTGGTAATTTGGTATATTTTTGACTGAAGGTGTTAAAGAATACTGAATCTCAGAACTCTCAGAGTTTGAGCTTATAATTTGTAGCTCATTTTCTGTACTCATCAGTTCACACAGTTACCTGCATATGTATGGATATGTTTGTATTCATGTATGTTTTGTATATTTGCAGAAAGTCGTCTCTGGAGTAGATGCTAGCCACATTCGAGGAGTTGGGTTTGATGCTACATGTTCCCTTGTTGTTATGGATAAACAATTCCAGCCTTTGGCAGTCAACAGTGAAGGTAGGACTCCAGCACAAAAGTTAGTGTTACTGTGCATGACTTACCACTGATGTGAGCAAAGTTTCATTCAAATGCCAAGTTACAGGGCTAACTATTGGAGATATAGATGGCAGGAAATCCTTTTTGTGAGAGTTTTACTGTTTTAATTCTACTGCAAAATTAGATCTGAGATGAGAATTGCTTAGTCTGGCTAAATGTTCAGCATCCTAAGATCCAATTCATTCATCTTGGCTCAAAGAGACTGCTTCTTAGAGAAGTCTGTGCTCGTTTTGCTTTTCTGCATGTTTTCTCCTCCTTCAGACTTCACTAATCACAGCTTTTATAGTGTGTATAAATGCCCATCCATACTGGCTAAAGGATTGCTGAAAATGTTAGTGTGAGTGTAGTCTAACAGCTTACTCTGTCATGGGGCAGCAGGCAAGAGATTCAGCTTGTGTATTTTATTACCCTGGTGTTGTGTCTTTGGGACAGTGCTAAACTTCAGAAAGTCTGTGACCTTCCTCTAAAAACTGTAATTTCTTAATTAGAATTTGAGAAGGTGATTCATAAGACAAAAAGTCTGTGATGAATCTTTTCAGTGAATCCCATTCAAGATGAGGTGTGTGTTAAGTCAGTAGTTACAGGGCCATAATCACAATTCCGTGTATGTTCGCTTTCTGTTCTCAGTTGTATTTGTCATCTCCTCCTACCCTTCACAAAGCCCCAGCTTTGCCCCCCAAAATGTCCTTTGCTAAATTTAGGTGTGAGTATTTGTTTTTCAGTTTGAGAGTCTCTTACAATCTGTTCAATGTCTAATGATGTCTGGGGCTATTTTGGGCTAGTGAGTCAAATTCAGTTCTCATTTTTTGTTCTCTGATATCCTCAAGAACTTTAAGTTTGCGTAGTGATGGTGTTAAATAAAAAGACAAGAACACACTGAATACTGTCACACTGGTATGGACATGGTGTGGTTGTCTTGCAGTTTTAAGTTGTGTTTCAGACCATATTAGTGGTGTGTCTCATACCTCTACCTTGTCTTAGAGTATGTTTTCAAGATTCAAGTTAGCATGAGAGGAATCTCAAGTGTCATCTGGATTACTGTTCCACCTGTCTAGCAGGTCCTCTGTAGGTTAATTTTGATAAGACATTCTCCTTGTTCTCATGTATTCTGCAGACTTGCTAAATGCTTTTTCATTCCACATCCAAACTAAAGGCATTGCAAGCAAATTACCCCCCTGAAAGGATTTAGGGAGTGCTTCTCATAACACTTGAAGAGGGAAGAGAATCCATGTAACCAGCTCGCTAGCTGACTAGCTGAGTTAACTTCAATTTATAATGTTGTGTTTAGTTCTTAGTCACCAAAGTCCTTCTTTATATTTTTACCTCAATATATGTACTTTGTCAAGAAGATTGGGTTCTTTGAATGAAATACAGTCTACAAGAGCGTGGTGTTGCAAAGTCCTTGGATGTTCAGAGGCTGATTGGTTTCAGTCAGCATTGTCAGTGCTCAGCATGTCTTAAAGCTGGCTCAGAGAGCTAGAAATGTGTCTTTCAATATCTACGGTGGTTTATTGCACAAACAGATTTACAGTTTTATAAAGTGAAGGTGTGAAGCAGCTTACAGTCTAGTAACCTACAGTACTGAGGTGGGGTTAAACCAAACCTAAAATAATCCCTTATTTTTGTCTTCTCCCCCAAGGCCAAAACTATAGGAATGTCATTATGTGGATGGACCATCGTGCAGTCAGTCAAGTTGAGCGCATCAATGCAACACAACACAGGGTTTTGAGCTATGTAGGGGGAGTGATGTCTGTGGAAATGCAGCCACCTAAATTGCTGTGGATAAAGGAGGTGAGTACATATGAAACTGTGCTGTGTTTTGACTAATGATTAATGCCCTTTGTTTGTTAATTTGAGAACAAAATTTCTAAAACAAAAGTCTTCAGTCTTAGTATTGAGCCCGAAGGCTTGCAAAGTAAGGTCAGCCATAAGTTGAGCTGAAAATGTTTGAAGGTTCATTGTTTTCTCTCACTTATTTAGAAATATCTTTGATTTTTATTGAAATTCAGTGTTTCCTGGTAGGAATATTTCATATGCCTTTCTTATCTAATTTTAAAGTTAGATATACATACAAATTTAATTGCAGGTAATGAATGAGTCCCTGAAGTACCCTAGGATATAGTTATGGAGGTGTGTTTCCTGCTCTGCTGCTGGCATGCTTACAGGCGTGTAGGTGCTACTTCTGGAGCTGATTTATAGCAGTTTGAAAACAGCTTCATCTAAGCAGTAGGCATCCTGGCCAGAGAGACTGCCTTTGGGGCACTGCATCCAGCAATGAGGGGATGTGTGATGTCTTGGGCTGCTGGTAGAGAAATTGTTCAGGTAGATCTTCAGTTCAGTTCTGTCCCATCTGTAGGAAGCAGAGCATCTGTAAAGGGAAGGTGCTCTGTTCATAATGTGGAACTGTACCTCTGTCTCTTGTGTTTAAATTTTGTGTGTTACAGAATGACATACAGCCTTTTAATAATAGCTGTCAGATAAAAGGAGAAATGCTTGCCACTTGAATTTTTTATAGCCTCCTCCAGTCTGGCTTTTACATTTGATCTCAGTGACACTTGCTGTCATTTTAACAAAGCCCAAATGTAAATTACTTGCTGCCAGTTTCAAGCAACTGAAGTCTCCTGTACTTACAAACATAAAACATCGTATGATAGCATGGTGTATATTGGGGAAAGTTGGAGGAATTAACTGGTAGAAGCACGTACTGACAGTTTAATGATAATAGGGGGTAATTAATGTTTGTGTATGCTATACTGAAATAGGAATATCCATCTACCAGTTCTTTCCCTCTTGAGCCATGAGTATCATCTGTCAGTCATTTTACAAATATTAAAAAGTAAGCTGTAAAAACCTTAAATGAATCCATTGTGTTCAAAACATGTTTATATTTCAGTCAGGTCTGCAATATTAGTACCTGACTGATGAGGAAGGGCCAGGTTATGGGTTTGTCTAAATGCACAGACTTACATAGCACAGACTTACCAGAGGTGTAAGTCTGTGCTGTGGCCTCAAAGCCCTCTGACATAATTGCTGTAGTACAAATGGGGAGAGCAACTATTGCAGGGCTTGTTCCCTCCATGAGCAGATGGGTAGGAAATACAATTCACCTTAGTCTACATGCCAGCCAGTAGCAGAGGTTGCTTGGCAAAGGGCATTACAGGGCTTGTTCATATGTCCCTTTTCAGCTCCTGACGTACCAGCTAAAGAGATTATTATCTTTAAGAGAGGGTTTTTTTTACCTCAGTATCTGCTGAGCTGCTCACGCGACAGTTCCTGCATTCTGAGTGGACTAGCAAAGACATACTCTTAAACTGCTTAAGCTTACACTGCTTAACTCACTAGCACCTCAGTGAGCTCATGAGAAGGAGCAATAACATTTCTTATGGCAGTGGTTGTAATCAGTTGAGATGTGGGCATGTAGTGCTATTCCTTCTAGCTTTGGAGAGAGATGTGACTGAGTCTTTGCTTACTGCTTCTATACTGGTTGCAAAGTAGGAGGAGGGTGAAAGGAATTGTATGAAGAGCAATGGTTTATTTTCAGTGCCAATCACAGTAACGTGACAATGTATTACATGATTTAGGGCTAGCAGCAAAGGTTCATGTTAGCTTCCAACAGCTGGAATTCAGCCTCATATAATGCAAGTGTTCTCACTTTTTGCCAAGGAGGGTCAATTTTACAATGACTTTGAATGTCAGGTTATATCCTTTTAAACTGAGAATATCTGAAGTCTTTGCAGAGTTGGAAGTGAAATTCCCATTCTGCTTCTGTTGTGACAACTAAAAATAACTGTGCTCACTGTACCTGGTTTGCAGAGTGTTGAATCAGTTGGCTAGATGAGAACTTCATGACATAAAATTAGACTCTTTGAAAATGTGGCCCCCAGTGTTGCTGAGCAGAAGGCCAAAATGGGATTGTTATGAGCACTGAATGTTAGGGCTGAGATGTGTTGACAGAGCTGCCTGGGGAAGTTCTACGCAGTGTCTGCCTACACCCTGTGCCTGGCTGTGATTGTGGCCTTCAGTCTCTCCAGCTTTCCTGACTGCTAAATGTCACCAAATATGCTACCAGCAAGCCTTCTTTGAAGTGTCATAGATCTGAGTAGTTTATTTGTCTTAAATCCTCACCTCTGCTTTTATTTTCTATACCATATGTGAAATAACCTTTCTTACTGCTTGCTCCAGTGAGCAGTGCAGGCTCTTTCAAAGGAGCTGCTTTTGAATAAGATCCCTCTCAAAGCATCCCAAAGTCTGTTGCTGTGCTGTAAAACTCTCTCCAGGAATTTGCTGCCAACCTCTGCAAATATGTACAGTTGGTTCAGTTGGTTGGTTTTTCCTGAAAACGCTCCCAGGATTTCTAGAACTGTTTCCAGCCAGCTGACTGCAAGAGGTGCAGCGTGCTGCTTGATACAGGAACGGGAGTGGGTTAGAGCAGAAATCCATTTGACTCATTATTTGTCATATTAGTAGTGAGGTTTATGCTCTATAAATTTAGCTAATCTTTCCTGAACCCACATGCACTTTGTGAAGCTGCTGTGTCCTGTGGTAGTGAGTTCCACTGTGTGACTGTACTTGGTGTGAACAGGTACCTTCTGTTTTCTGAAACAAGTTCCTAAAATCTCATTTACTTTTTAGTTCATAGAATCCCGGAATGGTTTGGGTTGGAAGGGATCTCAGAGATCATGTTGTTCTAATCCCCCTACCACGGGCAGGGATAAATGAGACAGTGAACTCCATCATTCCCCAGTCAACATCTCCATGCCATGGACCTTATGAGATGGTTTTTTTCCTTCCTTATTCGTTTCTTAACATGCCTTCCTAATGTTGTCATACACCTGACAGTATCCCAGGAATTTAAGCAAACAATGGATTGGGCACATTCTTCTATGACTAGCCATAATCAAAACTGGCAAAACAGAGGTATCTTCAGAAGCTATTTTGCACCTTTCTCTCTTTGGTGGGCACCACGTTTCTGGGAAGTTTTTGACCAGGAAGCTTGACATGGCTCTAACGCGTGGATGTTTATAAGCAAAACAAACCCCATAACCATGCGTTTTGTACAGTCATACTCCAGGTCAGTGGGTACCCCCTAATATATAAAGGTTCACTCTTGACTTTTGCCTTGAATTTCCTGGAATGATTTTTGAACTCCCCAGGAATTTTTGCTGCTACTAAATGTTTTTGCTGTTTTCCCCCTGTACATCTTTGCCTGGGATTGGTGCTGTGCACCTTTCATAACTGCTGGCATTGATCTACGTTTTGCAGAGAGGGTGTAGTGGGGAAAATAACTGCTTTATATCTGAAGTTATGATAAAATAGCCTGGTCTTAATAGTGAAGGACAATTCATAAATCCATTGAAGTAACCAGCAGAGTTCACTTTTGTGTTACTGGGAAAATGTTGGGTACTTTTCTTTTGATCAAACTTCATGTATTTGTAACAATAAACAGCATTTGGAAGGAGCTAAATAGATTGTCCTAATGAAATACGTTCCTTTCAGTGGATCCTTAGTTCTTTGGAACTCTTAACATTGTTTTCTTGAGCTTCGAAGTTTTAGGCTGGCATAAATAATGATGTTTCTTATAGAGTTTATTGCCTAACGGATAAATTTTCAGGATTTCCCTTGACTTTTCCATGTTCCGTGTTCCGAGACTTCTGAGTCATATGAAACTGCAGCCCTGCTAATTCAAGAGAAGTTGCAGAAATGAGACCGTAAACTCAATTAGTTTGTTAAGAATCATTTAAGAGATTAGGAGTCAGGCTAGATGCACTTTTGGAAATAAGTTATTTAAGGTACTGATACTAAATGATTCTTTGAAATGTTGTTACACCTGTAGGTTCATGGCGTGTACATTGTCAGCAAAGCCTACCCCTTCTTTGCCAAGATGCTAACCTGACTGTGGGAGGCCATGTTAGGAGATCCTGTCTTCTCACTCTTTGCCCTGAGCTCTCCTAGCTGTAGTATCTAAAAACTTGAGCTCTTGAGGCAGGGTCTGACATAGGTCAGTCCAGCAGGATTGCTAAGCTTGAGTGACTGGGCTGTCTCACAAAGGAAGAGATTGAATTTCTATTACCTGAAGAATTTTCACCTAAGCAATTAAAAATGTTGGTGAAGAATATGACTTTGCAAATTTACTCTGAATTGGTTGGAAGTGATGAAGGGGAAGAGGACTTAGGTGACCTAACTGTGCTTTTCCATTTGCATCATCTTGTTCCTAGAACTGACTTTAAAGATGACATCGCTCACTGTGAGGAATGAGCTGACATCATTGTTTGAGAAGTAGATACTGGTCCTTATCTCTTATGGCTTTCTTGTAACACTTGACTTGTATTTATTTGCAGAGGGATGTTGCAGTTTTTCTTCAAAGTCACAGGTTACTCTCATCTGCTGCTTTGTGAACTTGTTTTTCCGTATAATGCTTTCTCTTTAACATTCCCACTCTACACAAATAGAGATTTAACTAGAGACTAGAGGCTTTGGGGTGTATTCTGTTCTTCCAACGCTTCATCCCTATTCCATTTTGGCTTTGAATTAAGAAACGAAACTATAAAGGGCATAATAGGCCTTTTGAGATCTTTTATTTGAACTATATTGGCTTATATTCAGCTGAGTTTGATTGCTGCTGAATGATTTTTGCCCTCTGGCACCTAGTGGTTAGTCTACATGAACTTAATTGGGTGGTCTTGATGTTTGTTACTTCAGATAGGTGTTCATATGACAAAGCCATCACTGCAAGTGGAGTTTGCGAGTTGGGGACAGCTGTTTGCAGTAAATGATCAGCTGAATGCAGCTAC